GGGGGGGTGCACTGAAATCAACTGTGTTGTTTTTAAATATCGATTAGGTTGATTCGATAATACAACCTGAATCAATTGACTCACCCACATAGACTCACTTTTTATTTTATGTTGAGGGGAAAACAATCCAAATTCCACTTTGTCCTTCAAAAGGTGGTTCAATAAAACAGTTTCTACTCCGTAATCATTATTCTTTATCTGCTCTGCTGTAGCAGAGTAGCATCATGAGCTTATCATATCTTAAAAATGTTCCTTGGACCCATTTTGGGCCCGCGATCAACAGTTTATACTGTCCATAGCAAATTCATGCACGAATGTTATGCTATAAGTTCTAATTGATTAAAAAATATTTTTATTCAAAAAATTCCCCGCCATGGAGCATGTAGAAAGAACAAAGTGAGAATCTTACCCATGGAGATGCAGTGGTACCTCCGCGGATCGCTGAAAACGGACGCCGCGCAAACAGGTGCATGTCCCGGATGTGCCAGCGCGGCCGACTGGTGCTGGTGGTGGGCGAGCCGGTGGCAGTACTGCGCCGCCTCCGCGCCCGCCGCGAAGTGGCCCTTGAGGCTCGGCGCGCCGCTCCTCGACGCGTGGTGCAGCTGAGTGGTGACGCACAGCGGGCACACGCAGAACGCGCCGCTCTTCCTGGACGGGCACGCCGGCACCACGCCCGGCGTGTGCACGCTGATGGGCAGCAGGAAGTCGTGCGCAGCCGCCGCCGCCGCCGTCACCGTCGCCGGGTGTTCGGCCGGACGGGCGTCTTTGACGATGAGCGAATCCACGTAGAAAGATTTGGACATGGTTGGAGAGTTAACGCGCTCGTCTGTTGCATGTGATGCCCCTCGGGAGCTCGCAAAGGTGCTTATGTTTGATGGCGCAACAAAAGGGAGCACGAAGAGGGTGGGTGGTGTGGGTGGGCCCCGGCCAAAGCGTCACCCACCGCCATCGCTGCGCACATAACATAACAGCCCCTCATTAGCTAACTCCCCTAGCCAAACATCACAACTTGCACTTTTTACTCTTGCAGTCTGTGGGTATCAAATGGCCTACATCGGCGTGTTTGTTCCTAACTGGATTTTATAGTCATCGTTGTAGTATGACTTAATATTTCCATATCAACCTGTTGAATTTGATGTGAAATTCAATTACAGCTGCCACTTATTTTATAGAAGTGATT